CAGGCCTCAGTCAGCAGCCACACAAAGACACTCTTGACCTGATGCCCTGCCAGACCTGGTCTTAAATGCGATTCAGTGTCCACTCAGTATGGATGCGCTATTTCAAAATAGCAAAACAGTATTTCGAAATAGTTTGTGTGTAGACGCGTTATTTCAAAATACGCTATTTTGAGTTAACTATTTTGAAATAAGATATTTCAAAATAATGTTGTAGTGTAGACATACCCTCCAGGAAGAGGAGAAAAGAAGATGCAGAATAGCAGAGATTTAAGCAAAGAATCCTAGAGTATTTGGGAGCTGTGAAAGATGAAAACGGGAGAGTACGGGTGGAAGATGCTACCACCATTAGGAGGTAGCAGCAGATTTGTGAGAAACTGCTCAATGAACACAATGCAACAAAATCATTGAAGGAAGTATGCCTGAGTAACAACTTCACAATACTGAATGGGACTGGATTGGGTACCAACTGACCTTTAGCAGCATAATTCTCTGGACTGAAAAAAAAATTCCTCCCTGGAGAAGGAGTATATTTAGTCCCTATTCTCAAGTGTAAGTATCATCTAGATGTGCACAAATGTAGTAATTACTGATTCAAGTTAATGAGTCACAGGAAGAAATGGATGGAAATAATTATTGGGAGAAGCTGGCACACAGACAAGCAATTCAAGTTTATGCCAGAAAGATCAACAGTGGATGTAGTGTTTGCAGCCTGGATGTTGCAGAAGTTTAGGGGGAAATGCAAGGAATTGTTTGTGAAGTTTTTGTGAATTTAGAGAAGTCTCTGACCAAGTTTCTAGAGAATTGTTATGGTGGCAAGACTGCAGGCACCATCTGGCAGAGACGTATTTTGAGACTATGACCAATGACTTTATGCTGTGCTGTGAAGATAACTACAAACTAGACAGGAATCTAGAACCATAGCAAGCTACATCAGAAATTGCTTATGAATCATCCAAGAAGAGAGAGACCAGGAGAAGCCAACAAAACTATTTTACATGCATCTGACAAAATGGGTCTTTGCCCACGAAAGCTTATGCTCCAATAAATCGGTTAGTCTATAAGGTGCCACAAGATTTCTTGTTGTTTTTGCAGATTCAGACTAACACGGCTACTTCTCTGATATTTTACTGAGTTACTCTGTTCAACAATTTAAATATGTTGGCTCGGCATTGAGCTGTGACAGGAAGGTAGCTGTTAGGAGACGCACAAAGAGCATTTGGTGCAAATGGATGGAGTTGACAGGGATTCTCTATATGCTCTGTAAACTAAAGAGCAAAGCTTATAAAATGCTGATTAGGCCTGCCATGACAAATGGGCAAGAATGCCAGACAAGGAGGAATACAGAACAACTACTTCACATGGCCACAATGAAAATGCTGATGTGGTTTCTGGGTAAAGGGAGAACTAGCGAACTATGAAGTACATCAGTATGATGCAGTCAGCCTCCAGCACAGAAAAGCAGAGGAAGTATCACCTGAGATGGTGGGAGTCACGTGAGATAAGTTGGCCAAAGAGAACAAGAACTAATAGTTGCAAGACAAAAACACAAAAGCCTCTGGCATAAGGTAGTTTTGAGATGCTGAACAAAAGCAATCACCCCGATTTTAGGAATAAGGCAAAGAAAATGTCAGATTCCCACTGAAACCAGTTGGTGTTTTTCAGTCGATGGATCACTCCCTGATACCAGTTTGCACACTGATGTGACTCTATTGACTTCAATAGAACCATTCCTAATTTACATCAGTTTCAGAGGGATTAAAGCCAAAATCATCATTTACAAATAATGCATTTTTTAGGACAGCAGAGCTGGAGAAAGGGACCTGTCTCTTCTGTAGTTATGATTAATAAAAGGTATTACAATTTTTTCCCCACATTTGGCTGTAGGTCTCCTGTGAATGGGTGGTGGAGCAGCAGCTTGTCTAATCTTATTTTTGGAGCTCTAAGAACAGTCTATCAACATGATGACTCACTGGAGAAGCTATAGGCCGGGGACAAGAAAATGTGTATTAAGCAGATGGAACTCCTGAATGAAAAGGAATCTTATGCCCGCGGCTAACAGAAGACAGCTGGATTTAGTGCTCAAAAGAAGGGTAATACATTGTATTGCAAAATATGGGAATTGCAATAGAGTGAAATGGTAGAACTTCAAGACACTAAGGGTACATCTACACAGCAGCATTATTTTGGAATAATTGATGTTATTCCGAAATAACATAGTCCATGTCTACACTACATGCAATTATTTCAACATAATGTCAAAATAATGTCAAGCTGGAGGACTTCTTATACTGACTCCTGTAATCCTCATTTGACGAGGAGTAAGGGAAGTCTGAGGAAGAGTGCTCTACCTCGGACTTCCTGCTGTGTAGACAGCCCCAAAAGCCAAAATAAGCTATTTTGAATTAAACTACGCAATTGATGTAGCTCAAGTTGCAAAGCTTATTTTGGCTTTAGCCCTGCTGCGTAGACATGCCCTAAAAGTGATAGGTCAGCCACTCAAAGGATCAGACAAAGGAATCTCTCCATGATGTACATTTCTGGCTTGTCAGTCCTGCTGTGTACATACAAATGTAAAACACTGGCAGTAGATATAAGAACGTGTGACATTTGTGATACTTACTCTTCCATGAAGACCTCTGGATGTTCCGTAAAGGGTTTGCACAACTCCTTGTTGTTCATGTACTTATCAGCTAGTGAGGGCAAGCCTTCAGGTGTATCATCAAACTCTGCCCTAACAATACACTCACTTCGTTCCACCACTGATTTCTCACAACAATCTTTTATTTTACTGGAGAAGATGTCTTGTTTAGAACAGATATAGTTCGTAACTTCTAGCTGCCAAAGGAATGATAGTGTGTCAGATAAGAGGCCTTAATAAGCATGTACTTACTTTAAGTTTCCCAGTTGCTTTTCTTCTTACAACTTTGAGGCCTAAGTCAGAGCTGGTCATGCTAATCTTCTAAAGAAATGGAAATTCACCAAAGAGGGGAAACAGTTTTTGGGGAGGCTACAATCAGAACTCCACTAGGCTGCCTTCTACCTAATGAACAATAGGTAGAGCTAATGGATTTCCAGCCACTGGTTCACTTGTTTCTGCTGGAACCTGGCTGGAGCCATGGTGCCCTTATCATGCTCCCTGGCCCAGTATGAGGAGGAGATGTCCCTTCCTTTGTCATTAGAAAGCTGGGGAGGGGGGATGAGGGTGTGAACAGGCTGCTAAAGGTAGCAGAAGTCATCAAGCACCTTGACACAAGGGATTGCCACTTTATCTTTTCAATCACCTAATCCCTAGCTAGACCGTAAGTCATGGCAGCTACTATAAGGGGACACTATGCAAAAAAAACCCAACAGAAGTCAGCTCTATGCCACAACTTGCCTATGGGTCTGAAAGCTGCCCCTCACTCTGAAATTGGTGAGCACTGTGAAATAGTTATCTACCACACATTCATGGCCCAGATCTGCAGGCCTTACCCATGAGGGTCACTCCATTGAGTTTAAAGGCATTACTTGAATAAGGATTGTTAGACTGAGCCTTGGAGCCTACTTAAGAATTTGGACTAATAAGCAATGCATAAATACCTCATACGCAAGGAACAGCTGACTGGCTAGCATCCTCCTTGCGTCTATGCACACCTTAATCTGAAATTGTAGTATTCAGGCCCACCAAAAGAGGGGGACAAAGAGAGCAGTTGCTCTGGGTCCTTTAACTCATCACTGAAATGCCATGCTGCACATTCTTTGTACAGCTCTAAGGGTGGGAGAAGGGGGGGGGTCTGAATGCTTCCAGCCCCACCCCTTCCACCCAAAGCCCCACCACTTCTGACAGCACAGAGCTGAGACACTCCCACCTTGCCCAGGGGCCCATGGAGGCTGTCGGCTCCCCTGTATATACATGTTGTGGGTAAGAGCTTTCTGTTAATGAATTGCTAGAACCTCCCAGAAAGCTGCAGGATAGCAAGACATTACTATTGCTTGCATTACAGGCAGTCCCCGGTTACATGGATCCGACTTACATCAGATCCCTACTTACAAACGGGGTGAGGCAACCCTGCACTAGCTGCTTCCCCCCAGCAGACCAGGGAGACGCGGAGCGGCTTTTCTCAGCAGACACCTCAGCTTGAGAATAAAAGACTGAGGGAAGTGAGGTGTGGGAGAATAAAACTGAGCTCTGGAAAAATGTTTGGCTAGAGTTTCCCCTACAATATGTACCAGTTACGACTTACATACAAATTCAACTTAAGAACAAACCTACAGTCCCTATCTTGTACGTAACCCGGGGACTGCCTGTATACAGCTTAGTATTAAGCTTGCCTGATGATTTCTCCTCAACTCAGTTTTCAGCTGTTTATAACTTTGCTGAACTTATTGTTGGATGGATATTTTCCATACCAGATGTCTACTTCATGCTAAATGTGTCTGAGAAACTTCAGCCCAAAGTGTGTAGCCAAATTCATGAGAACAAGGGGATATATACATTGAAACACAAGGCTAAAAGAATTCTGGTGACCTCCTCTTTGGAAACAGCCTAATTCAAATACAAAGGGGACCTAAGCTGTTGAGAGGGAGGAAGGAGTTGATTGGGATAAGGAGGACTAGGGGTGAGTAAGATCAGGAATGGCGTGACCACTACTAATGCTGGGAGTCTCCAGAGGTGAGACTAACTTTGTGGGAGGAGACTGGAACAGCCTCCACTCCTCAGACTGACTGGGTGAAGACGACGGGTCTGGGCCAAGGAGCCAGTGGTAAGGTATATACAGGATAGGGGCAAGTTGGACGGGGCAAAGTAAAAGATGTCAGGCATGGCAGGAGCAGTCAGAAGAGTTTGTGCCCACTAAAGTACATGCCTCTCCCAGGCCTGAAATGGAACCTAAGATCTGAGCCTCCCCATTTCTCCACTGTCAATAAATACCATTGAAAGCCACTGGCAAAATATCCTATCCAACTTCTAGTACTGGTCCACATAGAGATTAATTGCATACTCCACCTATTCGTTACTCCATACACTCACAATCAGCATGCTGAATCTAAATGTTCCAATCCAATATGATGCCATATGACCCTTTGTTTTGTAATTTTATAGGCTTTTTTTTAAAAAAAGCAAATTGTTAAAAGAATATTAACATGGATAAATAGTATAGAATTATCACATAATTAAAAACTGTATAATATATACACACAAATTGTCCAAATTAAGGTAACAAAAGGAAACATATTCCTGGCATTTCTTAGCTTTCGAATGCTTGACTTTCAACCTTAATGTTCTTTTGATATAACTGTTAGATCCAGAGCTGCTGTAAACTGGCTCCACTGAAGCCAGTGGAGTTAGTCCATTGTACGTTAGCTAAGGATCCAGCTCTGACTTTTTAAGGGCTGAGATGTCAGCCAGCCAAGAGTATATAGGTGAAGAACTGTGAGTACATCTAGACTACATGCCTCTGTCGCCAGAGGCATGTAGATTAGGCTACCCGACATAGTAAAATGAAGCGGCGATTTAAATAATCGCCGCTTCATTTAAATTTACATGGCTGCCATGCTGAGCCAACAAACAGCTGATCAGCTGTATGTCGGCTCAGCGCGATAGTCTGGACGCCCGGGTGTCGACATCAAAGGTATTTGTTGACCACCCACGTAAACCTCATCCCAGGAGGCTTACCTGGGTGGTTGACAAATACCTTTGATGTCAACACCCGCGCGTCCAGACTATCGCGCTGAGCCGACAAACAGCTGATCAGCTGTTTGTCGGCTCAGCACGGCAGCCATGTAAATTTAAATGAAGCGGTGATTATTTAAATCACCGCTTCATTTTACTATGTCGGGTAGCCTAATCTACATGCCTCTGGCGACAGAGGCATGTAGTCTAGACGTACCCTAAATGTCAACAACAAAAAACAACGTAACTTACCCTGTCATCTGTACATTCTATCATATCACCAGCACAGCACTCCATGTGAACATGCAGGACATCGCTTGCAATTTTCTGAATTTCTGAAAATGGCGCCTTAGGAAATTTCTGGCCAAATGTAGCAAAAATACTATAAAAGGGGAAATCAGAAAAATGTTTAAAGCTTGGATTTAAAGCTCTGTATTAAATAGGAAACTTGCAAGTCATTACAATTTGGGTTACACTAAATCAGTGGTCCCCAACCTTTTGAGGTTGTCGGGCGCCAGGGGGCGTGGCTGTTCGCCCGCTGGGCGCCGGGGGGCGGGGACACTAGCGCGCCCGGGGCGGGCCCCCCCCTTGACGCATG